TTGGCAATGGTGTCCATGCGGTGGCGCTGGAGCAAAAGTTTGCCCATTTGTTGAACGCAAGCACAACGAGATTCCCAACTTCTTACCGAAGGTTGAAAGGGAATTACGGCAGGCCCGAACACAACAGCAGCATCTCCAAAAAAGAAATGCAATTAATAAGTTAATTATATTACATTTTTAAAACAAATGTCAATGTAACTATAACGAAATAATAATGTAATTATTGTATGTACCTAATTTCATATATCGGAATTGATGCAATTGTATTGTTATTAATATAGGTTTATCCCGCCGCAAAACTTCCACGGCTATAATTTTTAATCCATACGAGGAATTCATTGTCGAGGTCAAGCAAAAGTTGAACAGGGCGTTGTTGCAGAACCTACAATGGAAAATTATTAAATCTCATTCATGATCTCCTGCAATAAGTATTGTTACTAAGTTACGTACCTGGTTATGATATTCCCGAATTTTAATTTCCGCAAAAATCATAATTATTTCCTGTAATGTCAACAACACCCATAAATGAGAACGATAGATGCAAGGCCACGAAGTACAACTGATTACTGTTCTATTTTTTAATGATCGCGCGCGAAATGCAAAGTTTCTTTTATGTACACCGATCTAAAGGGGCCCCTAGACGTCAATTCATTTTGATCAAAAACTTCATTCAAAGCGCGATTAACCGATCAATATGCTTCAAAATAACACCGACTTATACCAACGCGGGTGTGGTTCTAACAGGACATTTGCCTGATGGGAAAATTGAATAAAGCACCCCTTTGTACATTTTTTTTTAATACACACAACTTTACATATACACAAGGAAATTAATTCATTTTATTTAGTTACATATCATCATCATCATTGGGCCTTATCTCATGCACACAAATCGCCAGGAGACCTCACAACATTAATTTTTTCCATACGGCCGCCGACAAACCCAAAATTCCACATCCCACTTTAATTTTCTAAATTTCATTACCAAGCTCCGTCAATTCTTTTTTTCCGTTGCTGCCGCTGCTGCTGCTGATTTGATGATTATGAACAATGACTCTTGGACATTCTTTCGTCGATTCTTGTTATTATGGACAAATGTCTTTTCCAATAACAACCTTAATATTACACCCAACGGCCTGAGCCGCCGCCACCCCCCCTCCACACAAACAATACACCCCTTTGTTTCCAACAAACTCGACCTTGAAATCCAATGGCCTTCAACCCATCACCCCCCCTCCGAAAAACACAAACAATTACCACCCCATATTCTTCTCAACACTCGACCTTGAAAATCCAATGGCTTCACCCATCACCCCCCTTCCGAAAAACACAAACAATTACACCCCATTTCTTCTCACACTGACCTTGAAATCCAAATGGCCCTTCACCCATCACCCCCCCTCCGAAAAACACAAACTATACACCCCTTCTTCTCAACACCTCGACCCTTTGAAATCCAATGGCCTTCCAGCCATCACCCCCCCCTCCGAAAAACACAAACAATACACCCTTTCTTTTCTCAACACTCGACCTTGAAAACCCACCCAACCCCCACTTACGCAATACCACTTTGACCTTGCAACACCACTTTGACCTTGAAACGCTAACACTTCACATCATAGGCACTTTCATGTTAAAGATGAAGCCAGGATCGCGCCCTTACATACTAACTCCCTCCACAAATACAAGAAATATGAACAAAATTGCGCCAGCATGCGGGTTGCACATCTGGTAGCCGTTGTGACATTAGTAAAACATTTAAATAGGGGATTTGCTACCTGATTACGGCGCAACAATATCTTCTATTAAAGAGTTTTGGAAACCTTCTAGCTTTCCGGAAACTATAAAAAATGAAAAAATAAAGGAAACGGTCAAAAAATGCATGCTCATACCCAACTTCCTTTAAACTATTAAAGCGATTTTTTCTAAAATTTTAATGTGGATCCTTCAAATCTAATCTGCCATGCGCACACCCAACTTTCTTATTTTGTAAAAGGAATTTCTCTGAAGCGGCAAATAAATAATTTTAATCACAGATGCTTCTAGCAAAGCAAGCATTATCTCATATTGTAAAAATCAGATGTGCGCATGGCGCATGCCTGCGCAATGTCAAATTTCCTTATAATATGTAGAAGACATTTTTTTTGAATTTTAACCAATGGTTCTTCTACTGCAGGGGAACATTATCGCACATTTTAAACATCAGGCGTGAGCTGCGCAGCTGCGCAATGCTAAGTTTCTTATTTATAGAAAAACATATTTTTCCCTTCTACCTACACATAAATTAGTCCGTTATATGAATTTTTCGGCAATCTGACTCGTTCATGAAAATGGACTCAAGTAACTCCCCTTAAGGCGAAAAACCGCTTTTTCATTTTTGTTTTCGTTAAATTAGGCTTGATCTTTTCCCGTAGTAAAACACTACAAATCACGACAGTTTTTTTGAACATTACAGACGTTCCAGTAAAACGGTAGGTATGGTATTGGACATTGATACAGTCGATCTCAGTAACTTCCAATAAAATATCGAATTAATATACAGGGTGTTTTTTTTGAGCTTTTAGTTAAAAGTTTCTGGAAAGTACAAATAGGTAGGTGTTTGAAAATTTTGCTACTTAGGGTTACTCTGAAGGCCGAATCGATGTAAAATATTTTTCAAATGGCCGCACTTCCGGAAACACCGGAAGTAATGTAACTTCGTTTATTTTAAATGGCAACCCCTATTTTTTATTGCATTTTGGATTCTACTGTTTGAAATTTCAGTTCTTTTGATACCCATATGTCGATTATTCTTGCCATTTTATGGTTTTAAGTTATTTTGATTTAAGAAAAAAATGGCGGATGCAGATGCGTACCTTGATAAATTTGATTACTTTTGAAAAAAGGTCGGGAATCTATGAAGCGACTCGTCTAATAACTATAATATCAGTCTAATTGTCGCAACCTCATACATTTATCCGCTGATAGGATTATAGGAGTAATGACGGGCTCTGATTCTCCTTTAAATGACTTCGCGTCGATTCTAAGTAGGAGTGTTGTTAAAACAAATTAAGTTGCGTTACAACGCGCACCTATGGAAATCCAAATTTAAGAACTCAAAATCTATAACTCAGTTTTTTTAAATGGAATGACCAAATGTTCTTAATATTGCGCATGAGATAGAGAATCGAAATTGGCATATTTTGGACTATACATGGTTCCTATAGCTATCTTTAACAGTTTCTGATTTATTCCCATTTCATTGAAATTGATCTCGGAATTGATGCCATTTTTATCGCATTTTTCTTTTTTAGTAGTTTGGCCATGATTTTTATAACAATCGGAATTTTTAAACAAATCAAGGATGGATTCTTTAATACCATTGATTCTAGTTCGTGAAGTTCTAAAATAATTCAGTAATAAATAAACTTCATTTATTAAGGATATGCGAAAATGTTTGAAAAATCGTAAACAGAGTCGTTCAACTGAATTTCTTAAACAACTTATAAGTCTGGAAAATTCAAAAGGTTAATTGCGATATCGGTTCTAGCAACCCAATTCCATTACCAAAAATGTTTCAACGAAGTTTTTTATATTTTGCATTGAATTTAATTTGTTAATCTTGCATTTGCAATTCAATTCATTTTCTTAAATATTCTCTTGTAGAGCTTTGTATCACTTGTGCTTCAACGGTTTGTAGTGCATTAGGGGTACAAAATTTCCAAAATTCATACAATTTCGTTCCAGTTTTCGAATGAATGTAAGGAAAGCACGCGCCGCGATTCTGCCCATTTCACCATAAATAACAATTAATTTCCAAAATAGGTGAAACCACTGCGAGTCATTTTTCGATTTTTGAAAAACTTATGTTAACCTATAACAGTGGGTGATGGATTAGTGTCACTAGATTTGCTTAAAATTCAATTGTTATAGAATCATGGCCGACTACTAAAAAGAAAATCCGAAAAAAATAGTGTCAATTCAATAAAATGGGAATAAGTCAGAAACTGTTAAAGATAGCTATAGGAACATGTATAGTCAAAATATGCCCATTTCGATTCTCTATCTCATGGAGTAGTAAGAACATGGTCATTCCATTTAAAAAAACTGAGTTTTTAGTTTTTGAAGTTTCATAAAGTTGGATATCCATAGGGGCGGTCGTACGCAACTTAACTTTTTTTAAGTGCACTAAAAGAAAGCCCTATTCATTCTCTATGCACTGATAAAAATGGGTTGCCATGACTATAACCTTTTTCAAGTAATCAATTATCAAGGTCCCATCTGCATCCGCCATTTTTTTTTCTTAAAGTCAAAATAACTTAAAAACCATAAATGGCAGATATGACATATGGGTATCAAAAGAACTGAAATTTCACGTAGAATCCAAAAATGCAAAATAACGAAGTTACTATCTACTTCCGGTGTTTCCGGAAGTGCGGCCATTTTGAAAATATTTTACATCGATTCGGCCTTCAGAGTAACTCCTAAGTACAAATTTTCAAAAACCTACCTATTTTACTTTCCCAGAAACTTTTAACTAAAGCTCCCAAAAAAACACCCTGTACAGCGACATTCACGCAGCTTGTTCGTTAAAAGTTTTTAAACCTGCAATTGAATAGAAATTGAAATTTGATTTACATTTGACATTTGCCAAAACCTATGACAGATAGGTAGGTACTTAAATTTTAATTGCGTTGAATGCAGAATAAACTAACGCATAGGAAGAAAATAGAAAATGTTACGTTTCTATTAAAAAAACACCAAGATGGCACTACTTGCGGGGTATTTATGGAAGGAGCACCATCTTGAAATTATTTTATATTTCAATTCGCAATGGTCGGTTATGGCTGTAAACCAAATTTCAAGTTTCTATTTCAACTACAAGTTTAAAAACTTCTAACTGTTGTAACCTGGATCAGTACATTACTTACTTACTCGCGATATAACATTCCATTTATTAACTACATCACACATTACATGTACAATTAACATTTACACATGTCATATTGCATCGGCCGACGACCTTACATTTTTCCGCTCTGTCGAGGTTGTCACTCACTTTGCGGCGTTGCCGGGTGTCGCTACTATACAGCATTTCTCCCTTCTAAAAATAAGACAAAACATCTACATTACAAATTTAACTTTGAGGGAGCTTTTATTTCTCGAGCTGATCTACGCAGTGGGACAGGATGTGATAAGGGTAGCGAAGGTTGTACAGTGGGTTTAGGTACAGACGTAGATGGTTGTGCGATCAATGGTTCTGATGGCTTCTCTTGTGCGGTAGGTATTAGGATGTCTGGTAAGTCTTCATAAGGCAACGTAATGTTTTCTGATATGTACGATTTCTTCAAATGATCAGCGTGCATTAGTCTTATATTCCCGTTTAATTTAATTAGATATGTAACTGCACTGACTCGCTGCATAACTACTCCTTCCATCCACACAGGCTTCCTCCCTTGAATAATATAGGCTAACACTTTTTCATTTTCAACAAATTCTCGCAACTTAGTTCTTCTCCTATCTTCATAAATCTTTACTTTCTCTTCCCTCTCTTTCAGTGTACTTGATAATTTTGTTTTTAACATTGTCAATTTTGTTCTCGGCTGTTGCTTTAACATAATGGATGCTGGGCTAATTCCGGTTGATACTGATGGTGTATTCCTATGCTTAAATATGAAGTTGTCCAAAATTAATTGAATTGATTTCGTACTGTTGTTCGGGTTTAATAAGGACTTCCGTAACGCTTGTTTGACTGTTTGCACATTTTTTTCAGCTAAGCCATTCGAACACGCATGTAGTGGTGGAGTTAGCAAACAGTTTATTCCATTGGATGAACAAAATTTCTTGTATTCTTCTCCTGAAAATGGAGGACCATTATCTGAAACAATCTCTTCTGGAATTCCAAAATGCAAAAAACTTTGACGCAATTTTTCAATCGTTTTTGAAGAATCCGTTCCATGTTTCATTAAATAGATGTCTAACCATTTACTATGACTATCCACAACAATTAAGAAATGATATTGCTTAAATTGTAAGAAGTCAATGTGTAATCTCTTCCAGGATTTAGATGTTTTCGACCACGGTGTGTACGGTACATCAATGGGTTTGTTTTGATGTAGTTGACACATTTCGCATCGTTTAACATGTTCTTCAATATGTAGGTCCATACTAGGCCACCATACTTCGCTTCTTGCAAGCATTTTCATCCTTGCAATTCCTATATGTTGGCTATGAAGTATTTCCAACACCTTTTCTCGAAGATCAAATGGAATAACAAGACGATTTCCCCATAATAAACATTCATTTTCAATATTTAACTCATGACGTTTTGAAAAATAATCCTTCAATCCTAAATCTGGTAATTTATCTGGCCATCCTTTTTTGGTATATTCTAAAACACGAGCTATTACCTTATCCTTCTTTGTAGACATGCTAACATCAGTAACTGATAATGGTATCTCGTTAAATTCTGAGAATGATAGCACGTCCTCGTTTAAAATGCTTTCCGAAGGTAATCTACTAAAGAAATCAGCATTTGCATTCTCATTACCTTTTTTGTATTTGATTTCGTAGTCATATGCGGATAATTCTAACGCCCATCTTTGTAATCTTGACGCGGCCAACGTTGGAATACCCGTCTTGACATTTAATATTGTTCTTAGTGGTAGGTGATCGGTAATTAGCGTGAATTTCCGTCCATAAATATACTTATGGAATTTCCTAACAGCAAACATTATCGCCAAGGCTTCTTTTTGGATTTGTGCATAATTTTTCTCTCTATTACTTAAGGTACTAGATGCAAACATTATTGGATGCTCGACGCCATCACTTAGGTGAGACATTACAGCTCCTACTCCATACTGTGAAGCATCCACTGCAATTACTATGGGTTTCTTGACATCATAATGCACTAAAAAGTTACTATTTACAATCATATTTTTACATTTTTCAAACACTCGTTGGTGTTCGTTAGTCCAAACAAAGGGAATATTTTTCCTTTCTAAGTCATACAATAATTTTAGTTCGCTTGAGGCCATAGGTAAAAATTTATTATAATAATTGAGTAATCCAAGAAATGATTTCAGTTGAGTTAAATCCGTAGGTGGTTTTTTCGAACAAATTTCATCAATTTTTGCCTTCATCGGACGTATACCGTTTCCATCGATTACATGACCAAGACACTCAATGCTTTCTTGAAAGAAATGACATTTACTCAAATTAACCTTGACATTATGTAACTGCAATTTTTCAAGTACTTTCCTGACATTGTCCCTGCATTCATCAATTGTTTGACCCGATATGATGATATCATCAATGTAGCACGCGCATGATGGAATATCTTTTAAAATATTGTCCATTACTGACTGAAAAATAGCTGGTGCAGACGTAATTCCAAACGGTAATCTGGTAAATCGAAATAAACCCAAATGGGTATTTATAGTAAGCAATTCTCTACTTTCCGGACTGACTTGCAGCTGCAGGTATGCATTCGACAAATCTAATGTAGTAAAGTATTTGCCTTTGGATACTGTATTAAAAATATCCTCACATAATGGTAAAGGATAATGCTCCGTTTTTAAATTAGGATTTAAGGTTACTTTAAAGTCGACACAAATTCTTATTTTCTTACTCGATTTCCTCGGGACTACCACAATTGGACTCGCCCATTCAGAATACTTGGTTTTCTCCAAAACTCCAGATTCCAACATCTCCTTCAATTCCATCTCCACAGCTTCCTTAATTGAGTAGGGAATTCGGTAAGGGGCATGGAAAATGGGAACTGCGTTCTCCTTTAGGACTAGCTTTACTCGTACATCCTTTATGAAGGATAACCTGTCAACATCAAACACAGTATTAAAATCTTTCTTAAAGGTGGATTTATAAACTTTACGTTCGCAGTTGCAGTTCAGTTGCTGTTCGCCGTTTAAAGTTAAAACTATGTAAACGTAACAACTAATTTATAAACTTCGTTGCCGCTGCAGTTGCAGTTTGGAGTACTTCTCCACGGCGTTCATGCAGTTCGATACATAACCATCTTTTTTGCGCGATCGGTCATTTCTGACTATTTACCATGGGTGTTTCCATGACAGTACGTAGAATTTACCAGTTGCTATGATTACGACGACGTCAAAATTACTTACCGATCTAAAAACAGAACAGCAAAAATACTTACCGACGCCTTTTTAAAAATCAACAGTCTTACATTACATTTAATCTTTAATTATTGTTACATTAAACGTACAATTTGTGCTGTTGTTTCCTATGGCAAGACGCTCATAAAGTCATAAAGGAAGTGCAAAGCTAGTAAACTACATCAGACACATGCACATTTTTATGAAATTATTAACTTCAATTTTGACAAATAAACTGGTTACCTAGTGATGTACACCATACCACTTCGATCATTTCAATTTATTCTGCTCGTTAATTTCTTAGTGCATATTTATAATTGGTTGCATACTTTTAATTTCGATCGCGCAAAAAATGTTATAAGCACGTCGAACAGAGACTTGCTATAACTAGACTGCGCGTAACGTATCTAAGGTGTTGTCGACACAGTATGCAACACACAATGCACCGCGGGGCAAAAATCGCTGAGAGGATATGCAATATAATGGAAATAAGCTGTTATTTTAGATGTTCCGTTCATTAATCATTCTCGTGATTAGCTCGAATTAGTGAACAGATAAATTTCTGTTGAGAATAAACCAATAAACTTAGGTTAGCTTGTGCCTATCAACATGTACTCTGTCGATAAATTTTTAAATAATATGCTGATTTTCAACGGATAAAAGTTTAAAGGGCCAATGGATCAGAGCCATTCGAAGAGAAAAATTTACTCCCACCATAGTGCATTTGCGGGGAATGAAGTCGATTTTAAAAAGGTACCTACGAAGGTGTTAAACAATAATGCAATACCGAGCGTTTTCGACATTCCCATTCACTTAAAATAACGTACAACTATTATTCGACATCCTTTACCAGCAAGACAACGGCAATACCTATTTGCCTATTAGGTATAGACCGTTGAGTGAAAAGTAATAAGAGACGCAACTTGATCAATTTATATGAGGCTTGTGCGGGCACCGACAATAAATAGATGCGCCAGTTGTCAAAAGGCACCGAGATCACAGAGTACTTGACTTTTATTCGGTGCCGAGGCCCCGAGATGTTTCAGTGACGTGATTGATTGGAAAGTGTTGGTGATGACGTCACGACAGGGCTGCCAAATAAACAGCTGATGGAAATAAAACAATTCATTCACAAAACACAAATTCATTTTTAGTGCGCGTTTTGCAATGGCGTTTTGTTTCCGATTTCCCTTTTTAGTGTTACTGTCGTGGATGTCCACATGATTCAAGACGGGGAAACGTGCAGTTGTTCCGATTTCCAGCAGAAAATAAACAATTTTACAAGTGGAAAAAGATGTGCAGGTAAGATCTTTGAAACCCAAAGCCCTATTTGTACGCAAAATGATAGTTCAGAAAATAATAAATACCTATTCTTCTCTACAAAAGTTTATTACTCTTTACTCACCTTGCACAATATTAATTGTAGTAGAGCGAGCCAATCGAGATCCGAAGTAGAGTGATGGTAACAACATGTTGGGTCACCACTACCATATTATTCCCATGGAATAAAGAGGGCACATGGAAATTTCTTTATCGAGAAACGTGGAAAAGGTGTGTATTAATAAACATTTTTCTGAAATTTGAAAGTGTATTTTCAGAAAAACCAAAAAAGTTTGACCAGTAAGAAATGTAACGAAGAACCGGGAACCATGGAAGCAGGTCCTTTCACTTCAACATTTCTGCTAAAATCTCGAACACTTGAAAAAACCGAGTTGTACTTTTTCAAAGAAGAAAATACTAATTTAAATGAAACCCTACAACTACAACAGTGTGAAAAAAAACTATTGTTCCAAGATATTAGTGGGGCTCACTTTTTAGTGTAGCTGGGCTGTGGAAATCATACCACCAGAATAATCTATTATGTACGTTGATGAAGTTTCGATTAAATTTAAAATATTTTAAGTGTTTTAGATTTACAGTGAGTAGGTAACATGAAAATGCAAAACATTATCGTCACATTTATATGTGCTACTTGTAATGTTGTACGCGGGCCTTATGAGTAATATGAGTAATAGAGAGAAAAATTATCTTTTTATATCGACATGCTTCAAAGACATCACAAATGGCAGAATTGTGTTGGATTGCACGGAAATTGAAGGTGCAATTCCGCATTCCTTCAAAAAAGCTTTATCCTCTGATTACAAGCAGTGCAGCAACAACTTTTGAGAGTGATTTATTTCCAGGATCATTACATTAGACAAAGTGGCGTCATGCCTCATTTGAGAGAGCATTCCACTGTATTGTTCAAACTTGTGCACCACTAGATTTTCAATATGAGAATTAAAAAAATGTTTACCATTGGCCACTGATTAAATGAATTAAAATTAAGGAAGATGTACAAATAGTTTTATTTTATTTTCCATATTGTAAATATCAATACATATTTAATTAAAAACTAAAATCACTTACTAAGAAAACTAACAGATAACAATACAATACTAACTGTTTTAATAATTTACCTAAAAGGTTACAAACATATTAAATTTGAATTGTTCTCCATTCTTACATCTATCGCAATTTAGGAGTCCACATGACAAAGATCTTTTCATCATAAGAACAAGTTCTTGTATTTAATGAAAAGCATGGTGTGACCTTTTCACATTTGAACTACCATCAAATATGAATTTTTGCTCATTCTTAATTCATCTAGTATTCTATGACCAAATGGATACTTTATTTCTGTAATCTACGACGTTGTCATTATGGCAGATTTACCATGTCCACTTTGGATTTCATAAGACCTTATGAATTCATTACGCTTTCTCCAGACACAGCGTTAATCCTGCGCGGTTCTGTCTGAACGATTTGAAACATTTTCATGTAAATAAAGTCCTCTTGAGAATCGCGCGATTACCGGCGTGTCGGAACAAGCACGCAAATAATAATTACTGCTATTTTCCATCGCGAACGCCAAAATTGTCAAATGTGATTACCATGACATCCACTAGTATGGGCACTTGATAATTTTGAATTTTGTTTTATGAAAAATGCAAATAAAATCTGTTTGGACCGTTGTAGATTAAATTTTGAATGATACAATATGAACATTATTAATGAAACCTGTGAAACTAAAACTACGTGTTACACCTCGTGATTTTAACGTTACACGCGTTTCATTATGATGATTATATCGAACTTGTATCATTAATAACTAGTATCTGCTCCCACGAAGCCATAGCTAAAGCCATACCTAAAAAACCATTCCCACAAAGTCATATTCTGGTTAGAATTAGTTGTACGTTCATCATTTAACTCGCGAGTTTAACTCCCACTGTATCCACTTTTATTCCATCTAAATTCATTTCCTTTAGTCCAGAGAAATCCAAGCCAGAATCCACTTTATTCCGTATAAATTCCTTTTTTTTGGCGAAGAGGAATAGAAAGAAGCAGGACATCTAAAAACAATTTTTCAATTGGTTTAGTAAAAAAAAGTGCTATAATTTTCAGATAGGTACATTTATAATAATAAATTAATAATTTCCTGTGATCACAAAGAAGTAGCTTTAAAAACTCTTCCTATCTCATTATCTACTATCCAGGAATAAAAATAAGTTTGTATTGTTGGCATTTCTAGATTAATAGGTATTAATTGACGTTTGTTAATTTAAAGGTTGACAGTTTCAAATCGTATCTCATCGGACAACCTCAACAGACTCCTTGACTCTGCAACTCACATACCCAGGCCATGTCCTTCACCATATTTATTTGCAATTAGCAGTCGGGTCTAAAGCCCCAGTCAGATAGGTGTAGTACGGTGCCGTTGCCTTGTTGTGCAGTGCGGGTCGGTGCTGTCATGTTGACATTTGCATTCACAATCACCGCAAAATTGGCCCGGCTACACAAGTATGAACAACCAACAACAACGGCAGCAGCAAATTAGCTTTGACAGATCGTCACGACAAATATGTTGCACTTCCATTGGTACTTGCTAACTGGAGTGCAGAAAGTTTGAGGAGTACCACCTATCTGCATGGGGCTAAGTGTTTCATACATTGCTTATTTAAATAGAATTTAAAAATTGTGTGGAAATTAATCTTACCCTGTTTAGTGCTTTCAATCTCATCCTCTGTTCGTGGCACCACATTGCACTTTCGGAAACAATTCCAACACGGAAACTGCGTTGTTTCAATAGATGAGATTGGCTCTTTCCATTAGGATACTGTATCAGTTTTTCTCTCGATTTTACGAATATTGTTATTTGCATACAGCAAAACAGCACAGATATGCTGTTACTAAATTGCCACTTGCTACAACTTCTTCGTTTAAATTAACCTAAAATAAAATGTTGAGTTACCTGCACTTATATCACATATTATTATAAAAAACCTTATGCAAAGCATTATTCCCTTACCTCCACTTGCATTTCTTTTCATACTTCCTTCATTCATTTATAAGCATTATTTGTTCATGTCCATTAAATTACACCGCAAGCACATTTCCACTAACTAGGTATATTCGCATTTACCAAACGCGGTAATTTCTTCAGAAAATGCTCGAAAAGGTCGGACAAGTTTATTAACGCCATGTTACAAATAAGGTAAACAAACTCCCATCAGCTGTTTGGGGTCGGGATAAGACGTGAATGACGTCACACTTTCGTAATAGTATTAAGTCCAAAATTAAAATACGATGGCAGCACTATCCATAAACTTGTTTTTTGTCAGAGCCGCACGGAAAACTACGGCAAGTGAGATAGAAATATAGATGTCGCCTTAGAAAAAGAAAGAGGACTTAAGGTTATCGCAATTTTATATACAGTTGCGCCTCTTTACTATTTTTCACTCAACGGTATAGACGTAACTAAGTACTTACTGGTACTAAATATATTTCAGGTTTTGTTACAAGAAAAATAGCTAAGTCTGTTAAATGTTCCATATGTGCAGATGCGATATTCGCATCAGAGAGTCATTCAAAGCTTTTAACTAGAAAAAATCGTGGAGGATTGTTGCACGTATCAAGCGATGCATTAAAAATTTGCCAAATTGCTGAAAATGTGTTCAGGTTTTCATTCAATCCACACCACACCGCGTTGTAAACAAAATGGTTATCAGCAGTCTAAGAAAAATAAATAACAGTTACAGCCCATTTGGGTTTTTGGATAGGCATATATTGAATCAAAATCCGCTAAATAATCATATCTTACTACTTACATCCATAGAACTGTATACGTAGTATATACGTAGTAACTGGAAAGGACTCGCGTATACCTACGCTCGCGCGAAATTGAGGCAGGGGCAACAGACAAAGACGGGGCTTACTTTAGGATTCTCGTCTCGCTTGCACTCATACTTTTATATGCAAATTAAAAGACGATTTCCCTTTGTTTCATGTTGTTTCACCTAATGGGCATATATTTGACTTCGAATGTGTTTGAATCCGTTTATGTACAAATCATTTATTGTAGTGACACTTGTGATTATGAGTCATACATTTGTTTTTGTTTGTAATCAAGTGTAGAACTTGCAGTAACCATCATGGTGCTCAATTGTGTAGTTGTTGGATGCACCGTTGTTCACGGCACAAATAATCCCATTTCTTTTCATGGGTAAGTATTACATCTTAAAAATTACAATTTATTTTTATTACCTAAACCAGGAATTTAAGTTTTAGAATTAGTTTAAGTCATGTGTACCTAATTACTAAGTATAGTTAAGTGTGTGACTAATGATCCTTTCTACCAACAAATTTAAGCATATTTTACATTCGTGGATTAAGATCCATAATAATAATTGTTGGAACTTGATTTAACTTTTTTTGGTACAAATGGTAAAAGGCATTAAAAGTTAAAGTTGCGGTTTCTGCAATCGTACTGCATATCGTGATCAACATACAATTGACTTATAATAAATAATTAGCAACTAATTCGCAAATTTTGTACTTGTACCATACATGACGCGTTTGGTTTTATTTTTTAGATTTCCATTTAGGAATCACGAAGTTTTTGAACAGTGGGTTCAGGCTATTAGAAGAGAAAACTGGACACCTTCAAGAACCAGTAAAGTATGTAGTCGGCATTTTAGAGAAAGCGACTATAAAGTCAGGCCAGGAGGAAATCTAAAGTTATTAAAACCAGATGCAGTTCCAAGTATTTTTCCGGAATACCCAAAGCATTTAATAAAAACATCTTCTGACCGGAGAGTCTTAAAAATATCAGTAAGTTTTTTTACAACATAATGTCTCCCAACCACTTCATCAAAGATACATTTGTAGAAGTCTACTGACGAACCAATTCCTTCTACTTCCGTTTCAACAGATATTGAGATAAGCATGGAGGTGGATAGTCAGTTAGATGAAACTAAAACCAAGCAGGAAACATGTGAACAGGCAACTCAAACATCTTGGAATGTGGATGGAGAATTGCAATTCCTTCGCAGAAAAATTAAATCCTTAAAACAAACGGTAAAACGCAGAAACGTGAAAGTTGCTAATGTGAAGGAACTCATTCAAAAACTGAAAGACAATTCATATATAAATGACGATTTAGAAAATGTTTTGAGGCACCACTTTGAAGGTCAGTATTTCAACTGTGACAATTTCAGTTGACTAATCACTCCATTGGTTCCATTTTAGGAATGCCATTAGAGATTATACTTCACGAGAAAAAATTTAAAGAAGTTAATCAAACACAGCGAAGGTACAGTACTGCCATGAAACAGTTTGCCCATACGTTATACTTTTATTCACCAAAGGCATACAATTTTGTAAAGCAACATTTTATTTTGCCTAATGGACGAACCATACGTAAGTGGTTGACCAACGTCAATTGCCAGCCAGGTTTATTGGATGAAGTATTCCATTTTCTAAAAACAAACTCCAAAGAAAAACCGTACTTGAAAGATTGTGCACTAATATTTGACAGCATGTCAATTCGAAAACAAATTATTTGGGATGACTGTACAGGGAAATACACAGGTTACATAGACTACAATGGTATTATAGAGTCCGAAAGCCAGTCTCCAGCAACTGAAGCTCTTTTTTTCCAAATAGTTAGCTTAAGAGGAAATTTCAAATGCCCTATAGCATATTTTCTCATCAATAAATGCGATGCTAACGTACAAGCACAAATAATAACAGTATGTTTAAGGAATCTTTTTGATGTAAATATTAATGTAAGATCAATCACTTGTGATGGAACTGCCACAAACTTACTTACATTTAAAAATTTAGGAATGAATTTTTCCTCCGATAACCATAAAAGCTATATGAAACACCCATGTGCTAACTACAATGTTTATTTTATACTTGACACCTGTCACATGCTAAAACTAGCACGAAACACTTTTGCAGACAAGGGTCTCCAATCTGAAAAAGGTATAATTAGTTGGAAATATATTCAAAAATTGGATCAATTGCAAGAAGAGCTTCAGTTAACATTTGCTAATTCTTTAACATCTAATCACGTACTTTTTAAAAACAAAGTAATGAATGTGAAACTTGCAGCTCAAGCGCTTAGCAGTGGTGTAGCTGATGCTTTGCAATTTTTACAACATAGTAATCATAAGGATTTTGTAGACTGTTCAGCGACAATCGAATATATACGAATAGTAGATAAAATATTTGACATACTAAATGCAAGAAATCCATTTGGTAGAGGGTTTAAATCGCCAATCAGGCCAAACACATTAAACTACTTTCGTACTATTTTTGAAGATACTATAAAGTATCTTTCATCCTTGTATGTCGACAATATTCCAATTCTAAATCATCCCAGAAAGACATTTGTGGTAGGCTTTATTATTACAATGAAAAGCACTCTAGCGTTGGCTAACGATATGTTTAATTGTGAATCGCCTTTAAACTATTTACTGACGTATAAATGTTCGCAGGATCATATTGAATTATTGTTCTCATGCTTGAGAAGCCGTGGGGGACGTAATAATAACCCAAATACGCAACAGTTAAAATGGGCGTTACGCCAAATGTTGCTTAAAAATTCTGTAAAAGCAAGTCAATCGGCAAATTGCATAGATTATGACAGTCTTTGTTCTCCAATTTTTGAATTTCAGTCAGAGGAAAGACGGTTGACTGAAAACATTGGTATGGGTAATTCTACTTCGGCCAATGAAAGTGATGCATTTTTATATCAACTTGGTAATGTACAATTAAACTACTACCATGAAAATATTTTGTACTATATAGGTGGATATGTAGCTAATAAATTACTAAAAGAAATAAGATGTGTCGCGTGCGCTGAAATATTAACACATCAAAGCTCAGCCCATGTAAGGGATCACAATTATATATGTTCTTCAGAATCTGAGAAATTCTTTACCATTATAAATAGAGGAAACCTATGTAAACCTTCCAAAATTGTTGTAAATATTATTACATTTTTGGAAAAAAATTTTCGGGTCTACTGTAGAGAAAATTAACAAATTAAAAATTCCACAGTAAGATATTTTAGTGATAAGTTGCTTTTGTTTATACCGCAGCACCCCATTGTTGAAGAGTTTATATCAGAGGATTTGCATGAATTGCAATTAATTAAAAAAATAGTAGATATCTACATGAAGTGCAGGATGTATCACCATGCAAAAACTATAAATCTTAAAATGCATGGCAATGCAGCTCCTATACGCCATAAATTAACCAAAATGGTTTTGTTCAAACATTGTTAAATGTAAGTACTTACATTACCTACCTATGTGTTTATTATGATTCACTTGTATATTTAATAAATGTTGACATTCTGTTTATTTATTACCTAGTATATTTTCCAAACCCAAGTAAGTATAATTAAGCTCTCATTGTAGTAGGTACATTTCTTTCGCATAATTAACTACAATTATTTTATTTGCTACATAGGAAAAACGAAACAGCTGATCCTTAAATGAGTAAGAGCGCGATGACGGTGGAACTTTAACCTTTACACGCATTAAATAGTATACACTGGAAGTAATTTCTGCGTATACTTTGTCGTGATAATACCTTAAAGTATTTAGATAACGTAACAAACAAAACTAAAATATTTCTACCATTATTTGGTTAAGTATTATCGATTTTATCTCGTGACGCAACAACACTTCCATTAAAGCGCTCGTGTAAAAGTGAGATGGGAATCCTAAAGATTAACGAATTGCCTAAGCACGCGACTTGCCTCACTTTTCGGTTGACGCGAGTCCTTTCCACAAATCACATACGGATAGATTGGTATCTTATATGGAAGAGAATGGAATACAATTTTTTTGGTTCGAGACTTAACTAAAGATAGCCCTTGCAACCGACAGGGTACTCTGAAAGAAATGCAACAGGTTAGGGTCTCCAGTTTCACCACGTGATTATGATTCTAACCGCAAATTACGTGTAATCATTGTGCGAATGCGAATTTTATTTTCGGCGTTGTTGTGCATTTTTGATTCGTTCTCAGATTTTTGTGAAATAACCCGTTCTTGAATAACATTTGTAAATAAACATAGTGCACTAGAACTTGCAGGTGTAAATACATAGGAAAACATTACTGTTTCGTAAATTGTAAATAAATAACTTGAACTGTTTACTGTTCGAAGTATTTGTGTAGTTGTGAAAAATATAGTTGTGTCGTGTATATTAAAGGTTGAATTAATTATAAGTGTTTGGTGTTTTGATATTAATGTAAATAGGTAAGTCCACTTTTCGAAATAGTATATTCCTTAAACATCTTACTGTTTTAGTTGTTTAGTGCGTCGCAGCGTAATGGACCTTCCATATATAAAGTACAAACTCAAGTGCTGTGTACCTGGCTGTACTGACAAAACTAGTAAACGCCATCGATTCCCTAAAGATGTACAAATGTTGCGGAAATGGGTTGAAGTTATACAGAATTCCGCACTTATGAGCCAGGAGCCATATACAATTTATAAATCTTCTTATGTTTGTGATCGACATTTTTCCCAAGAATATCTAGTACCTGGTACCAGAAGAGGGCTATCACGAATTGCTGTACCTACACTGTATTTAACAGGTATTTTACATTCATTTGTTTTTACAACAATGAAGTACCACTGTATGCATTTGTAGCATTTCCTGATGTAATGTCTACATCTGCCATAAGCATTTGTTCAACGTCTGGGGCAACCTCTACATCTGCAGCAATATTTTCAATGGATACGAGCGTCTGTGTAGGTTCCATTGCTGACACGGACCAATATTCCACCAGCCAGTCATTAGATAATGCTCAGAAAGTGTCATCAGTAAGACAAGATCCAAGTATGTATGGAGTGTATACAATTTGATGGATTAACACAGTTGTTTATTAATAGGTATAATGGAGTCTATTTTTATACCCGACATTGATACACCAACAACTTCAACAACGATCGCCATGAAAGAACCAGAACCGTCTATTAAAGTTTCCAAAAGAAGACGTATTTTAAATGCTGTGGAAGTGACACGACAAAATCAATTAACACCACGCTGCAAAAAGATGTATCAGATCGTGACTGAATGGGGAAAGAAAACAGCTAAATTACAGCATACATTTGGAAATTTGCAAAAACGTTTGGCTTTGGCTGAGAAGGTGGCAAAAAAGTCAACATTCACTGACCTAATGGATGCAGTGAATGAAACCACATATAAATTTATTCTGCAACAAATCCGCACACAACAACTTCCACCAAAGGCCCGTCGCTTTTCCCTGGACGACAAAATATTGGCACTATCGTTGTTAAAGGCGAGTGGAAAAGGTTATCGGCTTCTCTCAAAAATATTTTGCCTTCCATCACGCCGAACCTTAACAAACTTATTAAATAAAGTACCGTATCGTCCAGGTATTAACAAACACATTGTAAATAGCCTCGAGAGTGTTGTTGCAAATTTATCAACGAACGAAAAATTATGCGCTGTGGTATTCGATGAAATGGCCATCTCTCCTTCATTGCACTATAACAGCAAATTAGATTGTATTGAGGGGGTCGCTGATTATGGAGGGAAACGGTATCCCCATCTCGCTGATTATGCTAATGTGTTCATGATTAAGGGTGTTTATCGACAGTGGAAACAACCCTTTTCATTTACTTTTTCGAATGGCCCTCTTTCCTCAACACAATTGAAGCAGCTGATTGAAGAAGTTATTACTGTATGTCAACAAGTTGGACTTAAAGTAGTGGCTACAATTTGTGATCAAGGATCAGCTAATCAAGCGGCAATTAATGCACTATTAAAAGATGCAAATGAGTATTTTTTACAAAAGGGAATGGAAAATCCTCATCTTGGTTTCTTCATTAATAATCAAGAAATTGTGCCTCTGTACGATGTGCCACATCTGTTTAAAGGCCTTAGAAATAACTTATTAACCAAAAACCTTCATTTTACCAAGAATGGTGTGGAGCAAGTAGCTACATGGAAACATATCGAATTACTGTACTTTTTGGATACGTATGATGATACACGATTATTGACAAAATTAACAGATGCTCATGTAATGGCCAATAAAATAAATAAAATGAAGGTGTCCAGCATGACGCAAGTATTTAGCTATGGTGTTGGGTCACATCTGCAACGCTTTGCTGGTTGGGGTAGGTACTCACTGTATGTGATCTGTGTTCATATACTTGCATCATATTGGCACGTTAACTGCAGCATTTAAATAACTTACACTGTGATTTATATCAATATCATTGGTACCATGTTGCATGAATTCAATATATTTTGCAACACTCATAAGTGAATGTGTATAACAGTTAACCTGTTAATAATAATGCTGAAGCAATATATGTTTATAAATAAAC